AGATGCACTTTTGCATAAATCAGCAAAGCCAAGAATCCATGGAAATTATGAGAAATGATATACGGGATTATCTCTCTGCAATGAATAATATGGAGTTTCCAAGGCATGGTCAAGTGCCTGCATCTGCGGCTGCAGTAGCTGCAACATTTGTGCAACCTAAAAGCAAGAATGCATTATTCACTCGGTCTTGTTGCGGAAACCGGAGAGATAAAAGAATCGGTACTGCTGTATGGTATGCAGATAATGATTTATTGCATCAGTCACAACGACCGCCCTCTGCAGAAATCATGCAGGAATCTATAAGCAGTTCCAGGTGGATAGAGCTAATTTCTCACCGCTACCGTCCCAGTCACATTTGCTCCACGTGTAATAAACCGATGTTGGAAACTATAAATTTCACAGACCCTCCCAGAATGATGATACTTTCCTTACCTCCTGATAACACTGCATCTAGGACTACTGTGGATAAGGTTTTATCTATGACTTGTGGCTTAACAAATATCACATGGAAGCTGCGTGGCATAGTTTACTTTGGTAATTTACACTTCACATCAAGGTATATTGACAGTGGAGGAAGGATATGGTACCAGGATGGAATGGCAACAAGGGTATGTCTCCAAGAACCGGCAAGTACACCTCTGGAGGAAGCTCATGGTGCAGCTGCATCACTTCTTGTATATATGCATTGCTAGACCTGTTCACCTTTATCTCTCTCTGGAACCATCACAAATGTTTGTTCGCAGTCATTGCAAATTCACGTGCGGATTATCCACGAAATATCACGTGAGGATCGGAGGCCATTCGGCCGATGACATCTTTTGCACTATACGTACAGCCACTCGGGCCTCACAAATTCGGTTTATTATCCGATTAATAAGCCTATCTACTCAAATTTACCTATGTTCACAGCCTCATCGGCCATATGTGACTGCGTATGCCATAACGCACATGCCAAGGGGGGGAGTCGGGACCGGCGCTTGGCGCCAGCTTACACACGTCGGTTGGGCGAGCGCGTCAAGGAGGAAGAGGACCCCGACGACCGGTTCTGCCGTATATGGAAGTTTTGTGGCGCGCGACACCGCCACCACTCTTGCGCCCCTGGGCGGGTCTCGCTGCTCTGCTCTCTCGAACGTCGTCCGAACCGTTGACGAGCATCGCAATCAATTCTCATCGTATTTCTCTCTAGTTCTCTTGCGATGCACCTGGAACCGCAACGCATCTCTCGGGGTCCCTGGCGCGTAACGATGGTTTATTTCGGGACGGCGATGACACAGGGCTGACGTCGACGCGCTCCTCCCTCGCACTGCGCCTGGAGATAGACCGCAACACGCCGCGCACGGAGAATATCAAACCATGTCGACCACACTTTACCGCCATCCTTTCTGTGATCACTCCTCTTGGTACCGATCACAACCATGCCCGCCCAACAACAAGGCCTGATTCTCTCTATCAACGCCGGCTCCTCCTCTCTCAAGATCTCCCTCTTCAAGCCTTCGAGATCCTCCTCGTCGGACAAGGACCCCGTCGCGGACCTCCTCCTCGAATCTTCCATCGACGACCTCTCCTCCCCGCCCGCGCGCTTCACCCTCAAGCACGAAGACGCCTCTCCGTCCGACTCGTCCCAAGACGTCAAGAAAGAACAAAAGGATGACATCAAAGACCACGCGTCCGCGTTCTCCTACTTCCTAGACCATCTGGAGCACGAATCCGGCATCAAGAAGGCGGACATCAAGCAGGTCTGCCACCGCGTCGTCCACGGCGGCGACTACTCCGAGCCCGTCACCATCTCCTCCGAGACCTACCACCACATCGAGAAGCTCACCGACCTCGCCCCTCTGTACGGCTCCTCTATATCCCCTTTCTCTCTTTCATGCCTATCATGCTGATGCTCGGGGCTCGAAACAGACACAACGGCGCCGCGCTAGCCGTCATCCAAGCCTGCCTCAAATCCCTCCTGAACGCGCGCTCGATCGCCTACTTCGACACTACGTTCCACCGCGCCCTCCCCGCCCACGTCTCCTCCTACGCCATCGACCCCTCCGTCGCCCGCCCGCGCGGCCTCAAGAAATACGGCTTCCACGGTATCTCCTGTGAGCCTCTTCCCTTTCTCATCTCTCCTCCGTCCTCCGTCCCCTTCCTCTTTCTGACGCACGCATATATTCAGACGCCTACATCCTCCGCACCGTCTCCTCCCACCTCCGCAAACCACCCACGGGGGTCTCCATCATCGCCCTGCACCTCGGCTCCGGCGCCTCCGCCTGCGCCATCCACGCCGGCCGCTCCATCGACACCTCCATGGGCCTCACCCCGGTCCACGGCCTGCCCGGCGCCACCCGCGCCGGCGCGATCGACCCCAGCCTCATCTTCCACTACACCAACACCGCCGGCCGCATCTCGCACGACCCCGCGCACGCGACGAACGTGGGCGTCACGGAGGCCGAGGAGATCTTGAACAAGAAGAGCGGGTGGAAGGCGATGGCCGGTTCCGCCGATTTTAGGGAGATCGCGAAACGGGATACGGACGCGAAGAGGTGATTTCTTCGTTTTTACTATGCTTGAAAGGAACGCGAAGCTGAAAGAAGGGTGTTGTTGTTTCTTTGTTTCTTTGTAGGTTGGCGTTCGACCTGTTTGTGGATCGTATCTTGGGATACGTCGGCGCCTACTTCGTCGCCCTGCAGGGCAACGTCGACGCCCTCGTCTTCTCCGGCGGCATCGGCGAAAAGTCGGTTGAGCTCCGCGAACGTATTGCGGGGCGCGTGCGGTGTTTAGGGTTCAAACCCGTGGATCCGAAGAAGAACGCGGGTGTGGGGAATGTGGAGGGGGCGGTGGTGGATATTACGGCTGTGGAAGGAGGGGAAGGGGAAGGGGAAGGGAAGAGGGTGATGGTGTGTAGGACGGACGAGCAATACGAGATGGCGAGGGAGTGCGTGCTGGAGGATGGGTTCTGGAAGTGAGGGCGTACGAGGTACGGACGGTTGTGGCACATGCTCCTCTTCGGTACGCTGATGTTTTCGCCGGGATACATACAGATCGTGTATGGTATGGTACAGCGCGACACCGAAAAAGATTAATTGAATTCGATACGCTTTCGCGTCGAAGTCAGCTCCAACTACCGCGGAGACAAGCATGTATGGTACATACATCCTCGGACGGTCATGAAAACACGAACAATACATGCTCCCGGTATCACTAATAACATCACTTGCTCAGACTTGCCCAACAGTCTGTAGGTTGTCACGTTCCAGGGCGATCAATATGGGCGCTCCCGGGCTATTATCGTGCACAACGTCATCTTCCGCGCTTCAAAGCAAGAAACGGGTTTCATACCTCGGATTCCCCCATGATACGTCCAGCAGTGTTCCGTCCCGAGAACCCTGACCCTTCCTCCGCCCTAGGTGACGACTCGATGTCTCCTACGGCCCCTACCCCGGTGTCCTCGGCGCGATCGTGCTCGACGCCTGCCTGCATGAGAACGCCGTCCGTGATGCCCGCCTGTCCTCTACCGCCGTCCTGGCTCTCGACGCGAGACACCGGTCGATTTTGACTCAACGACCGGACTCCGTCGTAGTGTGAAGTTCGATTCGAGGTAACCTGCGTGTCCGAGGTATTGGACAATGGAGGCGCGCTCGCACCTCCGACGTCGCGCTCCATCTCCACACCAGTTTCTCCTGCAACAATCGACAAAGTGCTGCCCCGGGCACTGATATTCGGGCTTCCGAGGTGAATCTGTCCGCCATGAGGAAGCGAGTTGTCGTCGACAATGCTCTGCTGTCCACCTCCAGGCTCCCCATTCGAGTGAGAGTCGGTCCGCTGCGCCTGCAGGCTCCCGGAAGTCGCGAGTGCGTTAGACGCGGCAGCCCTATGATCAGATCGCGTGCCATCGTGACCATCGTCATCGGAGACGGTTTCATTGTTGAAGTCCGAATCGAGATGTGGCGTTGACTCCGTGTCGCGAACGGAATGTGGATGTGGTAGCACTGACAGGGCGCCTGGGCGCGCATCCGACGAAGGACCGACGGTCCTTCCGCTGCCCGATGTTGGGTTGACCCCAAAGTACTCGTATACATCGTTTGCATTGCCCCATTCCGCAGCCCACCAATGCCTCTCGTTGATGAATGTCTTCATTACCATTTCGTCCGAGAAGGACCCGCGCCGATGAGCTTCCAAAATCAACTTTGCGACCTTTATCGAACAATCGGGGGTGGTGGCCGAATGGGATCCCAGAAAACGGACTAGATGAAACCAGTCCACCCTCAAGTCGGCTGCAGCAACAGGCTGTCCATTGCGAGGCTCGGTCCATAGCGAGAGCCCCTCCATCAAACAGTCACCAAACACACTCATAGCCGTGCTCCAGCGTGGGGAGTGGTTCCAGTCTCGCAGAAGTGCCCGCAGAAGTGCCTTGGTGACCACGGACACCGCCGCCCAGAATCGGAGACGATGCAATGGATCCGTCCGAAATGCGGCACCGTCATAGCATGAACATGCAAGCTCAAGCATGTCAGCCGTTTCTTCCGGCTCTGCAAACATCCAGTCAGCCTTGCTATCGCCACAGGAAAGGTATGCGTGCACCCAGCCAGATGTACAGCATGTGACTCCCAAGTGCGCGAATGAAGGCAAAAATCTTCTCATTCGCGCGGCTTGTCAGTGAGGACTGGTTGGAGTATGCGAGGGTTTTGAGAAGGAAGACGATGCATGGGGCACCAAAACTACTGTTCATATCTGCAATGAAGGTCATCATTGCCAGTGAGTTGACATAGAGGCCGAAACAATCGTCAATGTCGCTCATCGAATCACGGAGGAGCATATCGAGACCGGACTTGAGTAGTCCGAATACGAGCGAAATTTGGGTGTCGTTGAAGGATGTCAGCGAATCGAAGGCATGATGAAGTTTTTTGTAGTTGATTGCGACGGTTCCCTGGGCATCGTTGTATTTGCACTCCTCGTCGAGTACATCGAGCGCCGGGATTTTAGATCCGACACATGGCATCCCTAACAGCTCGGAGATGGCCTTCCAGTATGCAAGCAGGCGTAGCTGCGGCGTTGAAGGCCAAGAATCGTCAAATCGTTGGAGGGCAGAACGGGTGCGCACGCGCGGTCCTGGTGCATCGGAAATGCATTTCTTGATCACACCGTCTCCGGGTTCCTCATGTGAGGCAAGCCACAGCAGCGAGTGGATTTGAGTTGCGATGCTGCTCTCTGAGTCACGTCCGAAGCGCCGCAAGGCGAGATCGCGATGATCCCATCCATCGAACGTGTACATGTCGGAGAAGGGACCTTCACAATTACCACAGAAATTTTCGATGGACCTGAGCCAGCGCGGCCAGTTCCAAGAGTATAGGGAGTACAGAAATGGTCTGATGACGCGGTAAAACGGTCGTAGAACAGGGCGTATTATCCATCCGAACGGTGTCTTGTATGGACAAGTCTCGAAGAACAGCGGTAATAGTACAGTCAGCGTCGCCAGGAATGTGGTCAGGCCAGCGGCAGCACAGCACACTCCAGCCACGACGGTGTCGATGGGCCAAAGTAGAGTGACGAGACCGACGAAGAAAAGCACTACCGCGAGCTGCAAAAGGCCAGGAACCAACGTCACGATAGTGGGGACTTTCCATTTTTGAAAGGCATCGTAGCGGAACTTCCGAAGCTGTATGGCGTGCTGAACGGGGGAGATGTTCGGCCATGCCATGTACTCGCGAAGCCATTGCTTCACGAATATGCCGAGCAGAGCAGAGGCGAGCGCGAGGATGAGGCTGAGGAACCAGAGTGCGTTGATCGCGACCACATGGGAATCGGCCTGAAAGGACATGTTCAGCGGATCGATGGACGCAGGTGCGGCTTGGTTCAAGGAGATTTGTTGGAGCTGTAGAGAAATATTCGAGAGGAGTTGGACGGAGAGCTGAGTGTTGTCCGGCTGCAACTGGGTGTACACTTCGATCAGGAACGCCGTGAGGACCGCAGAGAACAGACCGGCCTATCAACGCACGACGCGTTAAGAAGAGCGGTGATAGATCGAAAGAATAGCGCACAAAGATGAGGAGGTTATCGATATCCTCCGAGTATCCCTTGATCATTTCTCGATCATGCAGCTGTAGCCGGTCGTACACGTAGTCCCAGCCCGAGACATCTGATTTTGTCGGCTTGTCTTCCGCGGGCTGTCAAAGGGTCGCATTTCAGTAACTTGCAGCGTTATCCAGGAATGTCGCCATTTACCTTCGCCTTGAGGTCGTCTGCGGATAGCGGGTCGTTAGGACTGCCCGCTGCACCGCAGACGTCTTGAGTTTGTTCGCCCACTACGGGGCTGGCAGCTTCATTACGAGCATCTCCTTCCTGGCTCGTGGATCGGCGATGTCCAGTGTGCGGCACGTCCTACGGCCAACCAATCGGTGATCACCGTTTGAACAGTACGGCTTAGACCTCGTCTCACATGCGGCAGGGGTTCTTCTGGAGGTTCAGGTCCTCGTTCAGCGGTTTCTAATACCGGGCTGGAGGGTGGTGGCGACGCCATGCGAGAACGAGTTGAACAGGTGTGAGTGGTATGGATGGAGAGAGGAGGGAACGGAGGGAGCGCGGCGAAAGGCGTTTATAGCTCCAGGCAGTAGGCGCTCGAGCACAGAGCGAAGCTTCATATCGGCCCAAGATAGTTTGCGCCGTACGCGTGTTGACGGCGTGTATGCACTACATCCCATATACGTACTTATGAGTGCATATGTCCCATTCTATAGAGATTCTCTTGTTCCTTGCTCCATCCAAGACCGAAGACACATCGCACGGCTCTCAGCAGGAGAAGGATGAAGTCGGCAAGAAAGAGCGCTCGTCGCGAACACCGTCACCAATTGCTATGCTCGAGCCCGAACGTGCGTTGAGGGCTTCCCTTTTTTTGCTACGCAATCGCATTGCTTTCGATACAAACTGCAACAACTCCATCCTTATCGGAACACGTTAGTCGGCGTATCAAACATACCGCGACGGCCCGGGTTTATTTTGGGACACAGGACCAATGCCGACGCGTTCAGTACTGATGCTTGCAAGTGGATAGACCCACCGGCGCCGCCCTGGCAGCCTCGCTCAAATCTCTGCCAAACGCCCGCTCGTTCGACGACTTCGACACAACCTTCCGGTACGCTCTTCGTCCGCGCGTAGCCTCTAACCCAGTCAACTCCTCCTTCGCGCGCCAACGCATCCTAAAAGTACGGTCCTACGAGATTCTATGTACGTACCTCCTCTCCCTCTCCTCTTCAGATTCATCTCATGTCATATTACGCGATGCAGACAGGTACATCATCCGTACCGTCTCCACCACGTTCGCAAACCCACGTCCCAAGTATCCGTCGTCGCCTTTTACCTCGGCTTCAGCGCCTCCACCTGCCCCATCCAGGCCGACCGTTCCATCAACATCTCTGTGGGCCTTATCCCGTCCCACGGCCTCGGGGCCGCGATGCACCTGAGCCTGATCTTCCGTTACACCAACACCGCCGGTCGCATGTCCCACGATCCCGCGCACGCGACGAACGTGGACGTGTCCGAGGCGAAGGGGATCATGAACAAGAAGAACGGGTGGTACGCTCGATCTCAGAGGTGTCGCGAAACGGTGCACGACCGAGGAGAAGTGAGTTTGCGACAGTAACCTCTCCTTGAGGTCGGAAATGTGAGGCCGAAGATGCTTATTTTTTCGTTTGAGTGTAGGTTGGCCTTCGACCTGCCGGTGGAGAAGTCTCGACACGTTCGTCATCGCGGAGAGAAGTGGGTAGAGGGCTCGGCGACCCCGTTGAACGTGTAGATGGCGTCGGCGATCTGACACTACAGGAGGGCCAACGCGATCTCGAGCAACGGATGTCCGGCCTGAACGGGGCGCGACGTACTTGGAAGTTTGCGCGAGGCGTCGGCGCTGGTTGGCTCGCCTTGGGTAGTGGCTGGTGCTGCAAGGGCAGCGGTGATAGCTCGTGAGGACAGTGCGCCCGACACCGCAGAGGTCGCTGTCAAGGTTGGAGAATGCGGAGAAGCGCCGATGGGGCTGTGTGGCGGTCGGTGACCCTCTCGTTCGAATTCTCGCCCAACGCCACCAGCCGGGAGGAGGGGACGACGACAAGTCGGTACGACGTGACTGCGCCTTGGTGTAGATGGAGAGCAGGTGGCTGAACGGGGATGGGACAGATGATGTTGTGTAACCACACATCGAGATACCATGTCGCGGCGGCGGCGATGCGGGGCAGGGCGAGGGTGAACCCGAAGGTGGCCGTCGACGCGCTCAAGACGGTGAGCTACGTGCTGCACCTGGCGCAGAAGGACAGCGACTATCTTGAACACGAGCCAAGGTAAGCGTTGGTCCTCTGCCTTGTGACTTGTTCTCGTCGCTAATTGAGATGGTCCGCCCCCCCGCCGTCCTTGTGCAGATCCGGTAGGCACGTGCGAATCGCCCGAGTTCGAGAGGCACCAGGCGCAGCAGAGAACATCAACTGGGACACGGAGTACTCAGTAGAAGCAAAGCGTCTGTACAGTATATGTACGCTCGTATCATCTGAGAAGACCTCATTAAAGGAACCATGATAACCGTCAGAGCGGAGTTCTCCAGCACCGAGAACGTTGCCTTCAACCTACGCAGAAGCGGAAGACAATGATAAGACTCATGTTCAACCTACCTCTGCGCAACAGGCGTGTATGAATTGGGAAATATGCGAAAATCCAATCGCCGGATCATTGGATAAACCGATCATGGTGAATCGAGCGACTGAAAACATGATGAACATTATGCAAGTTTATCTCTAGTATGCATCCTAATCTATTCTAGCAATTGCGATATTACGCACAATGATGACCCCCCGAGCCCAAAGTAAAAGATGACCTCAACCGGATTTGAGGGCTTTGGGGCCCGGTGATTGAGGGCGGGAGTTGACAGCCGTCCGCGAGCTCCTTGCGGTAGCGCGGGGATTTATGAATAAGGGGTGTATTTTGATGAGCTGAGAGGGAGCAGCCGAAGCCATGCAAACCGGGCATCGTCGGCTTTGTCCTAGTGATTTGGTGATGCATCTGTGACGGACGTTGAATACCGAGAAATTCATAGAAAAACGGAGAAAAGACGTACGGGCCACAGAAGCAATGCCCGCAGCGGGTGGTCGCCATGTTCTTGGGGAAGCGGGAGCAGATGGGGCACACCAGGCGCATGTTGCTGCCTTTCGACGTGGCGTGGTCGAAGACGAGGCCCATGGGCAATCGGGCACCGATGCCTCCCATGGGGCTCGCCGGCCACCCGACGTAGACGGTGTGCTCCTCGGCGATCTCGCCCGAAGTGAGGAGACTATGCTCCATGAGCATGGAATAATCGCACATGCTGGCGCCCGAAAGCAGGCGACTGCCGGCGCGAAGGGCACATCTATCAATTAACGTAAGACGACGTGCAGCCAAAGCATCAAGAAGAGAACTCACCCATTGCCAATCTTCAACGCATTGAGAGCGAACTTGCCTCGGGAGTTGATATGGGCGACGACCGAGCAATCGTCGAGAGAGACGTTGTCGCCGATCTCCATCAAGTCGGGTTCGGTCATGAGGCCGACCTTGCCACCGGCCCAGATCGAGCAGTTCTTGCCGATGACAGCTCCGAGCGCCCGGTAGTACCAGACGATGTAGGCGGAACCGGCCAAGGAAGCGAGCACGCCGCCATTCCCGTGGCCGCGGCTGAGCACGCGGCTGAGCGTCAGGTGAAGCTGCCAACGCTGACAGTACGAGCTCTTGTCCCATTCGCAAGGGCCCACGCGACGCCGGCCGATGACGATCCACTTGGTGGCAATGACCCAAGCCATAGCGGCCGCGGATTGAATAAACAGGACGACGACGAAGAAGATGGAGATGAGGCCGAAAAGGATGGCGATGTTGTACCAATTGGGCTCGAAAAGGTGGAGGTGGGGAGCGTGGCGACGGAAGAGCACAAGGAACTGCGCCCCCGAGATGGCCGGCACCGACCAGAAGGCGGCGGAGAGAGAGGCGACGAAGAGGTTGACGATGGTCAAGAGCCAATACGGGAAGACGAAGAACTCGGCCTGACGCTTGTAGAATGCCCGGCCAAACGGCGTGATGGTATCCTCGTCTTCCTGCACCTTCCCCTTGGCGAAGCAAACGGCCTCGCCGTTTTCGCTGCCCATCCACGTCGATCCATCAGGGTAGACACCTCCGCGAGCGCCGAGGCTGCCCGAACCCATGACCGTTTTGCGCCCGACGGAGGTGTGCGAAAGTAAGACCACACGATCCGCGATCATGGCTCCGGCCCCGACGGTGATCTTGCCCGTGCCTTCGGCGTCCGTGGTGAACAACTCGGAGCGCGAGCCGAAAACGACGTCGTCACCGATCTCGAGCAGTTCGGGGTCTGGGCAGTAGACGCCGCTGCCTGGCCAGTACACCCGCTTCCCGACCTTCGCGCCCATGGCCCGGAAAACCATGGAAGTCGCTTCGTAGTGGGTGCCAAAGACGTCGAATGCGTGCTTGAGCGTATGCTGAGAGAGCAGCGACGCATTGATGTACCTGCGCAGCAAGGTCCACTGAGTGGTGTGCTCGACCGAATGCTCAGTCGTCAGGCCCATGATCCGCTTGAGCGCGATGCCCAGAATAACCTGGATGATCGGGGCGAAGACGACCCGAACCACGCGAGCCACCACGTGCCAGAGGACCCGCTTCGGAGTCGCGAACCACTCGATGACGGCCTCCAAAGGATGTTGGGCATGTGCCATGAGATCCGTGGTCAAGATCATGACGCACAAGATCGCGAACCAAGGAACGTATGATAGGACGGTGACCACAAAGATGAGCGGCCATCCGACAAGGATCTTGAGGAGCGCGCGGGGCTGGGGGTGAAGGTTACGATTCGAGACCGCGTGAGAGGCGGAGAGCGGCGATTCGTGAGACGACGAATGAGGACCGTAGACGGCGTCGTCTGCTACGTCCGCGCCAGGCGAAATCTGGGTATATGTGTTGATGACGGCCCGGCGTCCGATCGTCACGAAGTCCAAACGCATATAGCCATCGCGTTCCACACAGAATCCGCGTATCAGCGCGCGGTCGATGCAAGCGTCGTCGCCGATATGGATGAGATCGAACTCGCTGAGCTTCGCGCTGTTGTGGATCTTAACGTTCCTGCCGATCTTGGCGCCGAGTAGCCGGAAGTAGAGCAACTCCAAAGACGGATGCATCGCGAAGACGCCGCGACCTGCCGACCGGAGGAATTGATTGACGATCCACCACCTGAGGTGATACGCGCTCCACATGCGATAACGACCGGGCTGCGAAAACGAAGAGGGTTAATTCCACGAAAACGCACAAGGATGAAGCTACTCACTCGGTACTTTCCGATCACGATCCACTTGAAGAGGATGGCGGCGATGGGCGACACGATACGCGAGGATAAACGCGCAGCGACGATGGCGGCAAGCAGTGAACCAACCCTCTCCCAGTAATTGTCGGAGATGACTTCGACAACCAGCGACAGGACGTAGAGGATCATCGTCCACGCCCAGGCGGCCTTCAGCGGATAGAAGAACAGCGAGGGGATGGCCTGGACGATAAGAGATATGGGATGATTTTGGCCTCGATGACGATCCTTGTACTCCGCGCCGCCGTATTCCAGATCAGGTACGTCGTATTCGGATATGCTTTCAGGATACTTCTCCGTGTTCTCCTCTAGAGTGTTGGGCGTCGGTTCATCAATCACGAGGAGCGAGGCGATGCCGTTGATGGTGCTGTTGGTAAATAGATCGGACACCTTGAGGCTGTTACCCGTGTCTTTGCGAATCTGATACGCCAACCGACCCAGCAGCAGCGAGTTGCCTCCGATGAGGAAGAAGTCGGAATCGCCCGCGATGGTAGCCGCGTCCTTGCTAAGCAAGTCCGCGACTATATCGCGGATCAGGAGCGCGTTGGGTGACATGGCAGACGCGTTCTGGGAGTTGATCTCTTGCTCCATGGCCACGAAGTCCACCGCGCCATCGGCCTTCGCGAGCGGCTTCTTGAAAACGTAGAGGGGCTCGGGGATGCAGTATCCGGGCAAACTAGCGAGTAGCACCATTTTGATGCTGGAGCCAGTCAAATCCGACTCCGGGTCGACGGATACGAAAGCTTCGAGCAAATGGTCGGATTGGATGCGGACGGCGACTTCGTCGACGCCGATGATCTCGTTGACGGCCCGTTCGATCAGCTGGAGGTCGACGGTCACTCGCTGGCATGGAATAGGCTCGGTGAGAGGAGAGTTCTTGTCGGGAACCGACGCGGAGAAATGGCGATGCAGGGCAGGTACACCATCGTGCAGGCGCCCGATGCCCAGGCGCGGTGCGAGCTTGATACGCAACGGCTTGCCCGCGTTGTTCTTCGGAAGGTCTTCCATGTAGACGATGGTGAAGGGCCACTTGGACGGATGAAGCGTATCGCGGAGCAAATCCAGCAGCTCCGCGAGGCCGATACGAGGATGATCGGGGACGGGAACGACCACAAGACCGATGGTCTCCTGAAGCACCTCGTGCTCGACAGAGAACGCGAGGGTGTTCTTGACGCGGTGTTTGGCGACGTTGGTGACGGCCTCCTCGATCTCGAACGGTGAGATAACCTCGCCGCCCTTGTTGATGATCTCCTTCGAGCGACCCGAGATAAAGAGGTAACCATCCTCGTCCATGGTGCCCATGTCGCCTCCATCGAACCAACCCTCGCTAGAGAACGCCGAAGTGTCAAGGGGAGCGTCCCTGTCCTTCTCGTAACCATCGAACGTTGGGAGGCCGCGTACGCACACCGCTCCATATGCACCTCGCGGAAGTTCGCGCTCGAGGTTGAAAGGATCACGTATGGACATGTAAGGTCCACATGCGATGCCGGAGCACCCTGGACGATCGAGCTGGTACGTCGTTGGCGGGGACGCGATGGGCATGCATTCTGCACGCGGGGATTAGAGGACGTTACAAAACAACAAATAAACTGGCGTACCCGTCATTCCGTATGATGGAAGAACGACAGCGCCGTTGAACGTTTCCTTGAGCTGTATAGCGAGCGCGGGGAGAAGCCCGCCCGCAGCATTGCAGATCATGCGAATCCGCGTGTCTTTCGAGGGGACGATATCGGAAGGTTGCGCGGACAGGATGGCGTGATGCATCGTGGGCGCCGCGTAATAC